AAAAATGGTGCAACATATGAACTTCAGGATTCTAAACCCTGAACACTCTCGGGCGAAACCACCGGGTACTACGGACACGTCGGTTGGTGGAAAATAGTACGGAGGACCACCGCAGGCGACGATGACGACGACGACGGACGAACGACGCCGGACGAACGACGACGACGACGAGGAGCGACGGTCGACGGGAAACGACCGACCAGCGACGACGACCGACGAGAAACGACCAATCAGCGACGACGGACGGGAAGCGTCTATCGAGCGATGAACGCCAATGACGACGACGACGACGAGACGCGAATGCTGACGCTGATATTGACGCCGATGACGACGACGACGAGACGCGGATGCTGACGCTGATATTCACGCCGACGACGACGACGACAACGACGACGACAACGACGACGACGAGCGACGAGCGACGAGCGACGACGACGACGACGATGACGTCCGACGAGCGACCCGCGACAGCGCACGACGGGACATGACGACCGACGACGACGCGACCCGCCTCTGCGAGCCTGGCCCTCAGGGTCTGGGTGAGCTGCGCCCTCTCGGCGCGCACCTGCCGGAGAAAGGGGGCGTGAGGGGGCCGCGGCTGGGCCCAGCAGCCCAGGGCGCCCCTTTCTCCTCCTCCTCCTCCTCCTTCTCCTCCTCCTCCTCCTCCTCCTCCTCCTCCTCCTCCTCCTCAAGTCTGCGGAGCAGCTGCTGGCGACCGATGCTGCCGCTCCGTGTCCTCGTCCTCGTCGGGCTCGCCCTCCTCGCCCATGCTGCTCCTCACGCCGCCTCCTCCTCATCCTCCTCCTCCTGCCTCTTCTGCTCCTGGTACTCATCCTGAGATTCCTCCATTTCCTCCTCCGCAGCATCCTTCGGTGGAGGGCGATGCGGAGGAGGAAGAGGCACGTGCAAACGTAGCAGGGCCTGAGGTAGCGGGTGGCAGGTGACAAGCGAGGGAGCCGAGTAGAAGAGGCATGACCTCTTCCTTCTCCCCGTCATACTCGGCGCCATCCTCTCCTCCTCCTCCTCCTCCTCCTCCTCCTCCTCCTTCTCCAACCCCTCCTCATCCTCCTCCTCCTCCTCATCCTCCTCCACCTCCTCCTTCCCTTCCCTTCCCTCGTCATCATCGAAAGATTCCTGTTTCTCCGCATCATCATCTGTTCCCTCTTCTCCAACTCGTCTGCCCCTCCTGCTCGTCCTCGTCATCCTCATCCTCCTGATCGTCGTCCCCTTTCCTCGTCATTGCTTTCCATCCTCCTCCTCCTCCTCCTTCTCCTCCTCCTCCTCCTCCTCCTCCTCCTCCTCCTCTTCCTCTCTTCCTCCTCCTCCTCCTCCTTCCTTCTCCTCCTCCTCCTCTTCATCATTATCCTTCTCCTCCTTCTCATCCTCCTCCAACTCCTCCAACTCCTCGTCGCGACTCTCCTCTTCGCCCCCAACCTCCTCCTCATCGTCACCATCATTGTCGTCCTCTTGATGAGCCCTCATTCTTGCTTCTGGATATCCTCTCTCGTCGCACCCCAAGACGCGTGTGTGAGCGAGAGAAGGCGAAGGTGGAAGGGGAGGGGAACGACGAGAAAAAGGACAGGAAGGAGAGGAATGGGGAGAAGGAAGAGGGACACGATGCCAAGCAGGGAGCCGAGGGAAATGCAGGTTGACGAGGAAGTCGACGATGACGACAGGGGGGAGGGGGTAAGGAAGAGGAGGTAGAGGATGAGGCAAGGGATGGACAGGTGAGAGCATATCAAGCACCCGCCCACCCACCCCACAACGCCCCCGCCACCACACTGCGAGGAAAAGCACCTGCCAACGCTGCTGTTCCTCCTCCTCCTCCTCCTCCTCCTCCTCCAATTCCTCCTCCTCCTCCTCCTCCTTCTCCGGTCAGCGTCAAGAGGAGGAGGAGGAGGAGGAGGAGGAGGAGGAGGAGGCGGACAGGGGAGGAGGAGAAGGAGGATGAGGAGGAGGAGGAGAAGGAGGAGGATGAGGAGCGCGTCGACGTCCACCGATGGCGGCGGCATCGGCGGCGACGGCCACGACGGCCGCGGCCTCGTCGCGGACGTCGCTCACGGCGTCCCGGATGGCCTGGGGCGGCCGCCGCCCCCTGCGAGGGGGGTGGACGGCGGAGCCGGAGGAGGTGTGCGAGAAGGGGAGGAGCAGGACGGAGGAGGGAGCCCAGCCTCATCCTCCATTCCGGCTGCAGGAGGCACCTCTGGGAGGTCTTCGTGGGAACGCTCGGAAGCGGGGGGTGGGCGGCGGAGGCTGAGGGGGTGGGCGGCGGATGGTGGTGGGCGGGGGGTGGGCGGAAGGTGGATGAGGAGGGGAGGAGTACGACGGAGAGGGGGGTTAGGAAGCATCCCTGGGAGGTCTTCGTGGGAAGGATGGGAAGCTTTCAAACCAGATTCTGGGCCTGTTTGGCCGGATTCGGCCAGATTAACCCTGGTGAAGCTGGACTGGGCGAAATTCAGCGGGACTGAGCGGGTTTAGGAAGTAGTCCAGATCTCGTTGGATTTTGACTACGGATACTCATACCAGCGCCGATACTGCATCCAATCTTCCAGGGAGAGGAGGCTCACTTAGCATCGAATCAGGAAATGAGATCGAGTCGAGGTGTGCGCTGTATCAGGCTGCATCGGGGCGGCATCGACACCGAGTCGGATCGGCTGCGCCAGGATGCACAAAGGGCGCGCGTGAAACCAACGGGCCGCATCAGATCGGAACTGAACTGGATGGGGCCAGCCAGAATCGATATCGAATCGGATCGGCCAGATCGAGATGGATCCTGGCAGGCGAAGCGGGGGCCGAGGGAGGCGACGAGGGCGAGAGGAATCCGCGACTCTGACGCAGTCATAGACACAGCAGAGCACACAGCATACTGCTGGCAGGAGCCCTCGGGCCGAACAGGAGGAGGAGCAGGAGGAGGAGGGAGGGAGCCTTGGCAGGGGGAGGGGGAAGAGCTGAGTAAGGAAGGGGGCAGAGGGGGGTGGCAGTGGAGGCCGACGGGCCGGGCGAGGAGAGGGAGACGCGGAGGGGGAGGGGGAGGGGGGCGGGGCACGAGGAGGGAAGGGAGAGGGCAGAGGGGCGGAGGGGCAGCGGGAGGGGGGCGCAGCAGCAGCAGCAGCAGCAGCAGCAGCAGCAGCAGCAGCAGCAGCAGCAACGCGGCCGCGCAGCGTCGCGGCGGAGCGGCGCTTTTCCGCGACGGGGCGCCGGGCGGGCCACGGGCGGCTCGCGCAGTGGCCCGCGGGGCTGGCCGCGGCTCCGACTCCGTGCCAGCCGGCCTGGTCTGCGTTATCCTGGCGCTGTCCTTGCCCCAGCCGGGCACCCGCCTCCCTCCTTCTCCTACTTCTCCTCCTGCTTGGTCCTCCTCATCCTCCTCCTCCTCCTCCTCCTCGACCTCCTGCTCAACCACCTCCTCCTCCTCCTCCTCCTCCTCCTCCTCATCCTCCTCATGTTGCACTTCCTCGTCCTCGTCCTCGTCCTCGTCGTCGCGGTAGTCCTCCTCTTTATCCTCCTCGTCCCCCTTCTCCTCCTTCATACACCTTACTCCTCCCCCTCCTCCTCCTCCTCCTCCTCCTCCTCATCTCCTTCTCTTCCTCCTCTTCCTCCTCCTCCTCCTCCTCCTCCTCCTCCTCCTCCTCCTCCTCTCCTCTCCTCCTCATCATCTCTAGTTGTATCCACCTTCATCCCATCCTCTCCGTCCTATCCTTCTCTTATCTTCTCTTCTCTTCTCTTATATTATCTTCTCTTCTCTTCTCTTCTCTTCTCTTCTCTTCTCGTCTCGTCTCTTCTCTTCTCTTCTCTTCTCTTCTCTTCTCTTCTCCTCCTCCTCCTCCTCCTCATCAGCATCACCGTGCGGCAAGTGCTGCTCGAGCGTTGCCTGCGCAATCCACCGCGCCCTGGGGTGAAATCTCAGCTTGCCCGTATCAGGAACGGTTTGCACCCGCACTACCGTGCTTCCACCAGGTCTCTGCGGCTCATGCCCCCTCGTGCGTTGAGGCCCTATGAAAAGGCTGAGCTCGAGACCTGGGGCCGTCCCTGTGAATCCGCTGGGCCGCCTGTGGGCTCGACGGCGGAAGTGTCTGTGTCTGGACTGCCCTTGCACGCACATGTCCTTGCGGCCTTTGGGGTATTGGAGTCCGACCTGTCGCGAGTGAAGGAGCTCGGGCGGGTGAAGGCCGCTGAGGACTCCGACATCGGTTTCTGAGGTTGAACTCGCCTTCATGGCCAGCCACCAGCAACACCACCACCAACATCAGCATCACCGTCGTCATCATCATCATCACCATCATCACCATGATCATCGTCATCATCACCGTCGTCATCATAATCAGCATCATCATCAGCATAATCATCAGCAGCAGCGGCAACATCATCATCAGCAGCATCATCATCATCCTCATCCTCGTCCTCAGCAGCATTATCAGCAGCATCAGCATCATCATCATGATCGTGATCAGGATCATGATCACGATCAGCATTATCATCAGCATCATCAGCATCATCAGCATGGTCCTCCTCCGCCTCCTCGTCCTCCTCCTCCTCTTCATCAACATCATTGGCATCATCATAATCAGCAGTAGGAGCATCAGCATCAATATCGTCATCATAATCCGAATGGTCATGATAGCAGCAGCAGCGTGATCATCATGCTCCTCATCCTGCCCATCCTACTCCTCCTCCTCCTCCTCAATCTCCTCCTCTTCCTCCTCCTCCTCCTCCTCCTCCTCCGCATCGTCATCGTCGTCGTCGCCGTCATCATCATCATCCTCAGCAGCAGCATCATCATCGACATCATCATCGACATCATCATCACCATCATCGTCATCATCCTCATCACCATCATCATCATCATCATCATCATCATCATCATCATCACCATCACCATCACCATCACCATCATCAGCATCATCATCATCATCATCATCATCATCATCAGCATCACCATCATCACCATCATAATAATCATCCTTCTCGTATGCCGTATGCCTCCTCATTCGCCTCCCCCGTCACCTCCCTTCTCCCTCCACTGCCCGAATTCGGGCGCCGAGGCCACGCCCTAGCCGTCAGAGCTGTTGCCGACGGTGGCCTGTCTGGCGGACCAAGCGCCCGAGGGAGAAAGAAGGAGGAAAGAAGGAAGATGGGGGAGGATGACGGGAAAAGGAAGGAGGAGGGAGGAGGAGGAGGAGGAGGAAGAAAAAGAAGAAGACTAGCCGCGGAAGCGCGGGTCGGGCGCGCGCCCAGCCTGCATCAGAAGTGCAGCAAGAGGAGGCCGTACGCGACCGCGACGGCGAAGAGGAAGACGATGAGGGGGAGGACGGCCCCTCCACGGGGCATTATCGCCCTCCCCCCGCCGCTCCGGAGCCGGCAGCGCGCGCGGCTCCCCGCACGGCTCCGCGACCTCCGCGGGGGCCCGGTGGCGGGGCGCCAGGCGCCAGCACCAGGCCGTCGAGGTCCACCATGCGGCACATCGCCTTGCGGCCCTTGGTGAAGAGGACGAGCACTTGGCCGTCCTCGGCCTCGATCGGGCCGCCCAGCCCAGCGCAGTAGAGCGTGCCCTCCTGCCCATCGGGGAGGCGGACGCGGTCGCCCTCGGCGGCGGCCAGGATCGCCGCCGCTGCTGCTCCGCCAGGCTGAACCTCCGTGGCCAGGGTGGCGCTCTTGCCCTTGCCTTTGCGCCCCCCTGTGCTGGAAGGCGGGCTGCCGCGCACCAGCGCGTCGGCCCAGCTGTCATCCTCCTCCAGCATCGGCGAGTCGACCTCAGCAGCCCTCGATGCTCCAGTCGCTTGCGCTCCGCCACCTCCGTCGACTCCGTCGGGTACGACCGCCTGCTCGCCATCCACAGCCATGCGCGCCGAGCCACCGCGGCCGCGAGGCCGACGCCGCCGCCGAGGAGCGGCTGCGGGCTTCGCCGAGGGCGCCGCGGCTGGCGCTGGAGGTGTGGGCCTGGCCAGCAAGGCCACCGCCGTCCGAAAAAGTCCTTCAGCAGCACGAACGATCCTCGCGACCTCGCGAAGCTCGGCGCTGCTGGCCAGCCCAGCGGCCGCGTGCACCGCCAGGACCGCGCCGCGCGCAGCTTCCAGGGGCGCGGCAGCGCGGGCGTCCGCCGTCGGAGGCATCGGCGACGCAGCGGGACGGGGGCCGACCCAGCGAGGCGAAGCGTGAGCCAAAATGCCGACTGGAGGAGGAGGAGGAGGAGGAGGAGGAGGAGGAGGAGGAGGAGGCGACGCGGAAGGAGAAGTCGAGAAGGAGGAGGAGGAGGAGGTGGACGGAGAAGGGAGGAGAGGGGAGGGAAGAGCACAGAGGAGGACGAATCGAGGGAGGAGGGAGGGAAGGGAGGCCAGCGCGACGACGAGACCTCGGCCTCTGGGGCCCCCTCCCGGGCCCCCGGGACGGCGAGTGGCGCCCGCAGAGCTGCGCAGCGTGCAGAGCTGCGGGGGGCCATCTGCGGGGCGCGGCCGTGCACTCTTCGGTCCCCGTTTCGCTCGCGTCCCGCGCCGGGCTCCGCGGAGCGGCGCGGCGCGGTCGGGCGGTGGTGTCCGTGCCCGTTTGCCTCTCGGCTCCTGCGCGTGCGTGCTGGCAGGGAGGGAGGAGGGCAGTGCCATAGCTGCTTCGGCGCAGGCCCCACTGAGTCGGGGAGACTGGCGAAAGCTGTCCGGGCGAGCCTGCAGAATAAGCCGTCCTGCGCCACGGGTTGCGCAGCTAGTCAGAAAGACCTTGCAAGTCGTCGACTCCAATGCTCGAGCAAACTGCTCCACCCAGCCACGCACAACTTGCTGGCAAAGCTAACCTGGCAGAATGACGCGAGGACCCTTCTCATGCAGTGCGTGACTCGGGCGGGCGAGTGGTATGGTGATGGTGGCGCTGATGACGAGGGCGACGATAACAAAGATAAGGATGACGATGTTGATGTTGGTGAAGACTGTGGGGATGACAACGACGCTGGTGATGGTGATGAGAACGACGGTGATGGCAGTCGCAGTAATGACGCTGGCGATGATGATAACGATGGCACGATGAGGAGGATAAAAAGATGTTCTGACAGACGTGATCAGAGACATTGGTCGTCATCTGTATATGAACAACAATGTGTGTTGATATGCTTACGTGGAGGGACAAGCGTCTTAGAAGGATATCGATGTATGCGCGCAGAGACGCACGCGTGGCCCGCATGGCATTGCTTAAGAGAGATGTGTGGAGTGGTCGATGACAGTTGAATATGTTCGAAATGCATGCGAATGTCATCTCAGATTGTCTCATTCGGCAAAGTGGCCAAACACGTGTATAGTCATTATGCTTTCAGTGAGTGCGTGCCTGCAACGAATTGGCAGTTTCTTGTTGAGAAACCGATGCCTTTGACTATATGTGCAAAGCTGTGCAAACATGTGTGTATTTGAAGGATGAAAAAAACGACCCTACCCTGGGTTATGAGTGCGTGGTCTGTGGACCTCCTGGGAACCCCCACAGCCTAAAGCCGCCAGGACGCGGCACATCACGCAGGGTTTACCCTGTCAGCCCACAGGAGTTTCAGCGCACAGCGCCTCGTAAACCAGGGTAGGGGCGTTTTTTTCTGCCCTTGATGTATGTGCATGTGTGTCTAGATGTGTGTACATATTACATGCACTCAGATTAGCATGGCGTGTGCACTGTGAGAACTGCAAGCGTGCGGGGGCGCGCGAATGTGGTCCGAGTGGAATCATGGGAGAAGACTCTTACGATACGCACTTGTTAGATCAACACGTGCGTGCCGTCTTGTACGATATGAAGAGGGGGCGAAAGTTTACCAGCTAGCACAGAGCTGTCTGATAGTTAAGTACAGCAAATGATAATAATAAACATGGGAAGTGCGCGGAGGGAAGCTGATCAGTCCAGCCTCGGCATCGGACACTAGACCCAGGGCGAACGCTACTGCCAGAGTGCGGTTGGCTCAAGATACGCTCCAGCACTTCTGGAGTAACTCCCGGCCCTCGTCCCTGGAGCCCGCGCGGAACGGCGGGAAAGCCTCGAACTCTCCGAACCCAACATTACCATTACTTCAGAGGACGAAAACAAATGCATGAACATACACTTTCGACGGTCCGCGCGGATTTCTTGGATCTACGCTGGGCCCCCCTGCCTGGTGCGCGGAGCGCGCCAGGGGCGGCGCCGGAGGCGCCGCCAAGGGGGCCCATCGCCGATCCAAGAAATCTGCGCGGAGCTCCGAAAGTTCATGTTTACGGAATGGTTTGTTCTTCGATTCTTCGATTCTTGATCCCCTGAACACCGTGCCATCCAGGCCTCGCAGTCTTTGCGGTGCGGCCATCGGAGGACACTGAGGCTGGGACCCCTGTCGGCGGGACACTGTCGGCAGTACCCGGTCGGTGGGGCCCGATCGGTGGGAACCTATCGGTGGGGCTACGGGGCCCTCTCGACGGGACCATATCGGCCGACCGCGGACTGGTTGGACCTCATCGGTTGGACTGTATCGGTGGGGCTGTGGGGCCTTAATTCCTGCCGGGGCCCGATCAGCGCACCACAAACAGGCGGCTTCACATCGGTGGGGACCCATCCGTCGGGAGCCCTATCGACGGGACCCTACTGCCAGGAAGTTTTGCATGGCGTGTCGCGGCGGCGGCCCCGGCGAGACGCTGTGCCCTGCGAGCGGATAGCATGCCGCGCCGCTCCGCTCCGCTCCGCGAGAAGGGAAGGGAGGCCGAGAAGAGCTCGAGACGTCGATGCCTGGGGCGCGTTGCTCTGGAGCATGGCGGGCCAAAGGGGGGAAAGAGGGGCCGTAGCGCAGCGCACCACCGCACGCTCACCTGTCGTATCCTGCCAGCCCAGGCTGGCTCCTCAACGCAAGCGCCGCTCGGGGGAAACTGCTCCGCGACGGAACAACTTGGCCAGGGGATGGAGGCGAGAGCTTGGGGGAGCCCTGTCGTGAAGCGGACGCCTCGTCGGTGGGTGCGGGAAAGTCCGGAAAGAGGAAGGGAGGGAGATGGAGGGAGGGAGGGACAGACTGAGAGACAAAGCATACGCACATCCTATCACAGGAAGCCGCGGAGGGGGCTTATGCCCTCGCGGCACGGGTGCGGAACACGACTTTCAGCGAAGACACGTGGACCACCGCCACCGAGAACCCATGGGATGGGGACGGACCCCTGGGCAGTGGTACGCCTGAGCGTCGTCCTTTGCTGGGAGGCGATCGGGCGTGCCATGGGTCGGCCCCCCACCGACGGGTTCTCGGTGGCGGTGGTCCACGTTTCTCACCTGAGACTTCTGAGCGTGCCAGATGAGGAGGCACTCGGAGCAAAAGCCGCGCAGGTTCCTCCTCATGCCCTCGCGTCCCTGCTCTCTCTGGCCCCCTTGTACTCAGAGGACCGCTGCAGCCCGGGAGGCCTCGGAGGACCGCCGCGTCCCCGAGGGCGAGGGCTCGGAGGACGACTGCTGCGACCTCCTCCGCAAGGCCGGGGCGCCGTTGACGTGCCTCACCGGCCTCTCGTTCCCGTGCAGGTCCACTATGACGCCGTCGCCGTGCAGGTGGCCCATGGCCCAGCTGCCCCTACGAGGTCAACCAAAAAAGAACCCACACCCTTCGGAAGATCAATCGACTCATATGTGTGTATCTATCTATATAACGATCGAAATATCTATATGAATATATGTATATGTGACTATGTATATATATATATGTGTACACTTACATATAGACATACATATGTATATGTATATATGTATATAAATATGTATTTATATACATATATATATACATGTACATCTATAACATATATATACATGTGTCTGTATATCTGTCTACCGATCTATATATGTATGTATGTATTTCTATCTATCTGTCTATCGATATATATATATATATAGATATGTCTATATATATATATGCATATATATGCATAGCTACACATACATATGAATATTTAAATATAGATATACGAGTATGTATATATATATATACATATATATATATGTATACACCTGCGTCCATGGCTTGCGTTCATCATCAGGGCTCTTTTTTTCGGTGAGGACCTGTACATCCGCCCGTCTGGCCACGTGAACGTCCCGGGGCCGTTCCTGACGCCCCCCTCGAACCTCCCCGCGAACCTGGAGCCGTCTGGCAGCTCCATCGAGCCATCGCCCTCCATCCTGCAGGATTCGCCGACGTCGCATCGGCGCATCGGGAAACTGGCCGAACCTAGGGGAACGAACAATGACATAAACATAACAACTCGGAGGTCCGCGCGAGTTTCTCGGATCGGCGCTGGACCGTCCTAGCGGCAGCTCCGGCGCCACCCCTGGCGCGATCCGCGCGCCAGGGAGGGGGGTCCAGCGCGGATCCAAGAAATCCGCGCGGACCTCCGAATTTTCATGATCATGTGACACGATCATGAAAATCGACGAAACATGACATTGCCACTTTTCGTCCCCCTACAACCGGCACGTGCGTCTGTTCGGGCCGCTTCGGGGCACAGAATCAAAATCGGGTCGGGTCGGCCGCGCAGGCGTGCACAGCAGCGCCGTGCGAACACTGGGGAGGAGGAGGGAGGAGGGAGGAGGAAGGAAGGTGGAGGAGGAGGAGGAGGAGGAGGAGGAGGAGGAGGAGGGGGAGGAGGAGGAGGAGGAGGAGGAGGAGGGAGGCGGAGGAGGAGGAGGAGCTCGGCTGGCCAGATCCCTTCTGTCGACTCGGACCGACCGGCTCGTGCTGGGCCCCGTCCTGCCCTCCCGCCACTGGCCCTCGAAGACGCGCCCGCACGGCAGCGAGCCGGCGCCGTCGCAGTCGACCTGCGCGCCCTGGGGCTGGCTGGCACACCTAGGAGACCACATGCGAACCCTACCCCTACCCCCCACCCTCCCCCTCAGAAATCGTAGGGGGTAGGGGTAGGATTCGCATGTGGCCCCCTAACACCTCCCGCTCGCCAGGGGCTCCGTGAGCCTTCCGGCGCCGTGCCGGAGGTCCCCCTCGAAGCCGCCCTCGTACCGCGACCCGTCGGCGCCGTACTGGGCACCCGCGCCGGACCGCTTGTCCTGCCGCCACTCCCCGTCGTACCAGCTGCCGTCCGGGTCGACCTCGGCAGGGCGGCCGCCGATTGGCAGGGGAGACGGGTCCTGAGGGAAAGGTGTCGTGGTCCCGGGGTGCCTTCCCCCAGGCCGAGCTCTTCACCCTGAGCCAGTTTTTCAGTCCTGGGGCCCGTGGAGGGCCCCGCGAGCCCGGAAACGGCGAGAAACCTCAGGACCCGTTTCCCTCAGGACCCGGTTCCCCCATGGCGAACTGAGAAGGGGGTTGTCAAGGAGTGGGCGGTTACGGTCAGGAGCTTCGACTTAGCGTGTCGCGCCACCAGCTCTGGCCCACCACGCCTCGGCGCGACACGGTATCCACGTCCCAGTCCCCAGGCATCAATGGCCGTTCCCATCCCTCGGCCCCGCGGAGCGGAACGACATGCTATCCGTTTGCAGGACATCGACCGTTTGCAGGACATAGTCCGCTTGCGCTGCGTATCAACACGGGCCCGTTCATCATGAAACATCTTATCGGAGCACTACGCCGGCTACGTCGTGGCAGAGCTCCGGGGCCAGATGGGATCCCGCCAGATATTTGGAAAGCCTTAGGGTCGGACTCAGACGCTTCGTCAATAATGCTCTGTTTGTGCCAGAAGTCTTGGAAACAAAAATCAATACCTGAGTCAGGTAGGCGTGTGAATGTAGTCATGCTCTTCAAAAAGGGGAAAATCAAGCTACCAAAGAACTATGGACCAATCTCTTTGCGTCACATCGGAAATCAGCTACTGGCGTATATGATCCACCAACGGCTGCTTCATGGCGGCGCTTTGTCCCAGATGCGGGGATCACAATTTGGAACCCGCCCTGAACGTGCGCTGGCCGACGCCCTCATGCTCGTCGCGCCGCATGATCGACGCGGCGTACAGCTCTAAGGAAGGCGGCCTTATTTTACTAATGTTGGATTGGGCTAAGGCGCTTGACGGGCTCAAGCCAAAATGCATGCGCGATACTTCACGACGATTTGGACTGGCCCCGGACATTGAGGCCCTGGTTGAAGCTACGTAGTCGGAGCGGCATTCCACGATTGTGGACTGTAAAGGGAAACCCACTGAAAGACGACAAGAGGCAATCATCGCGAAGGGATGCCCACTATTCGCATACATTTTCATCGCTGTACAAACGGTTATGCTTCACGACGCTTTTGGTTCCATCAATTTCGGAGCAAAGCCCGCCTACGTGGTGACGCGCGACATCCTTTATGCGGATGGTACATTACTGGCATCGCAGAGTATAACAAACATTCGGAACATGTTTAGCGCGATTGCTGGAGAGGACTGTATGGCCTCGAGCTGAACGGGGACAAAGCACTACTAATGCTCGGTGGTCTGTCTTCTCAACAGAAGGCGCGCTGCTCGCTGTTACACGCGCGCCGGCTGCTCTCGCGTCGCAGCGGCGCCCAGGGCCCGCCGTGCCAGGGCGTGGCGAGCAGGGGCGGCTGCTGGAGCGCCCAGACCCTCCGGGCGCGGAGTCGAGGTCTGGTCGGCGCTGGTGGCCGGTGGCTGGGCTGGGCCCGCTGCTGCCGCCGCCCCAGCTGAATGCGCCCGTGGCGCCTTGGGGAGAGGGGGCCTCCTGCCCCAGCCTCCGCTGCCGCTGCTGTCGCCGCCCGCGGCCGCTGCTGCTGGGGTTTCATCTGGGCCGGGCTGCTTGGCGTCGGCGGTTCGGGCCTTTCGCTTCCGTGCCTTGAGCCTGGCGGCGGGCGCTGCCAGCCGGTCCCTGCGCTCCGCGAGGTCTGGGGCCGCCGCGCCGAAGATGGCGCCGACTGCCGTGCCCAGCTCGGTCTTGAAATCCTGCTCGAGCTTGTCGAATTGTTCCTGCTCCTCCGCCGAGACGTCGAACCCTTCAGAGTTACACAGCTCACCGCCCACGAAGGCCACCCCATCGTGCTTCTCGAGGAAGCTGGAGAGGTGGAGGATCGTGTCCGTCGTCGACTCTGCTTGACCACGGGCGTGCCACTCTTGTTGGGAAGCTGGGCCTTGGCGGCCAACACCTGGTGGGCCTCACTGGGCTGCGCCTGTGCTTGCACGACCGCATGGGCCGCGTCTGCCGTCTCCACCCATCCAGCGCGCCTCGAACCAAACCAGCGCCTCCTCCTCCTCCTCCTCCTCCTCCTCATCATCATCATCATCATCATCGTCATCATCATCATCATCATCATCATCAGCATCAGCATCAGCATCATCATCAGCATCAGCATCATCATCATGGCGAGCTGCTCGGCTGGGAGCAGCTCCTTGACCAGGCTGGTGGCGCCCTCCAGGCCGAGCTGCGACGATTTGGCACTCAGCCGTGGCCAATCCGCCGCCAAAGGGGTCAGGTGTACCGGGCCGCGCGAACCTGATGGGGGTCTTGCGCCAAAGGGCCCGCGATTCGGGACCTGCCGCGCCGTCGCCGCCTCCTTGGCCCTTGCCGCGTGTGCCACCGCCGCCACGTCCTCGGCCGCCATGACTTGCACCTTGGCCTTTGCCCGCGCCAATCTGGCTTCCGCATTGGTTGCAGCCGGCCCTGCTGCGAAAGTTCCAGCCGTAGCCGCAGTGGCCGCACTTGGCGTGCGCGTGCCTGGATTGGGTTGGGGCAGAGGAGGCCGAACCGCTGCGGGCGCGAGGCGGGCCCATGGGGGCACTCCTCGGAGCCTCGCCGTGGTGGCCCGAGCAGAAGCGCTTCGCCGCCTCCCGCCGCAACAGCGTTCGCGCCGAGGTTCGCGCGCGCCGCTCTCGCCTGTGGGAGGCAGGCGAGCGGGAGCGGGCCGCGCCGCGCCTCGCCGCCAGCCGCTATCGTGCGCACCGCGGCCCGCGCCGTCGGGCCCGCGGCGTGGGGGGGCTCTGCCACGGGCCGAGGAAAAGCCGCGCCTGCAGAGCCAAACCGTCGTAGACCGAAAGGGAGGATGATACTGATGATGACGATGATGATGATAATGATGATGATGATGATGCTGATGATGATGATGATGATGATGAGTTGTCCCCCCCAGGGACCGACGGCAATGAGGGATGACAATCGACGCAATGAGTCCAGTCCTGGCATCGGGCGCAAACAATGCCAAACCAACTCGGAGGTTGGGCGCCTTACAGGTGGCACAACGTCAGTTCGACACAAGATGGGAAATACACCAAGAACTAAAAAAAAATCCTGCAGCACATATGTTAAAATCCCACCGAGCGCATGCCCTGAGAGAGGGGGAGGGCCGATCAGAAGCTAAGCCAGTGGCCAGGCGACGATCGAGGAAAACAGACCCTGCCCTCGCAAAATCTCTCTCCAGAGAGCAGGCGGGGCCTTGCGGTACTTCATCGGTAACCTGGCGGCAACAAAGTTAAAGAAGAGTTATCGGCGGCCAATGCAGCTGAAGCAAGGCTTGCCACTTGCAACAGCCAATGGACGCCGTGAGAAGCACTGTTTGGGGAACTACGGGCCGCGCAAAGGACCCCGAGAGGAGCAAAGAGAGCAACTTTCGGGAAACCCCAACACGGGCTTCAGCAGAGAGCGAGGCCGAGTCCGCTGCCCCCAGCGGGGCACGGGGAGAAAAGAGCAACAAGACGACAGAATGGTACTTGAACAGCATAAAACTCCGCGGGTCCCAGGAGGGGCAGTGAGCCGCTGGCCCCATGGGGGCAGAAGTTCTATGAGACAGCTACGAGGAAGACGCAGACCAGGCACGGGCAACCTTGGGATGCCGCAGAGTGCGCAAGCGGATGCGGCCTTTGAGGAGATCCTTCGGCGACAGCCTGGACCCCTCGCGGAAGCTGGCTTGGACAAAGAGGAATCCATCCAGGAGACTCGCACAGATAAATCGCTGCTCAAAAAACGGGGGAGGGGCAATTAAAGTTACACACCGGAACCAGGACTCTTCGCTAAAAAAAGGATGGAGGCATGGGGCGAGAGCTAAAGTCAGTCGTCGAAATTCAGGACATACAGCATAGTGCTCCATAGAGTCGTTGGCCCCAGGGGCACCACAGTTCCAGCAGCATCCGACAGGCCCACGATGAAATCTGGCACTGGTACAGACACCCCTCGCCAGAACACGCAAGACCGCGAGTCCCAGGTAGAGGGAGCTTTCCTTGCAAACCTTGCGGACAACCTGAACGGCGGCAGAGACCTGGGCGACCGAGACCCCGGGGGCCCAACGGATCGCCCGGGCGCGAAGGCATCGGATAGGAGAGATCGAAGGAGCGCGGACACGAAGGATTCGCGTGAGCTTCTTTTGAATCCCCGAGGCCTGAAGAAAGCCAGCGCACAGATGGATGTGCCCATTCCACGCGTCAATGAGAGACCGACAGAACGTGTGCTGCCACCGCGGGCGCCGCATCCGAGCAGGGTGAAATTCGTCTTGCTGGGAAAGACCAAGAATCTGACCACGGATCCGCGGGAATGCAGCACTGTTGTGGGCAAGACGAACTTGAGTAGCAATGCCGATCTGGGCCAGATCAGGGAATTCCAACGATAAGCCGAGGTCACACATCCTGGTGCACATCAGTCTATGGAAGGCAAACCGAGGACCCGCCATAAGCTTCTGTTGCATGTTCCTTTCACATTTCAAGACAGCCGACGACGGAGGATAGAACTGCATCGCAAGCCTGAGAACCGAGACGGCGAATATCACGTACGTCCTAATGGTCATAGCGAGCCCAATCCGAAGTCTCCGAATCTCAATGCAAAGCTGATGAAACTTCTGCAACGCAGTGCCCCAAGCGTGCTTCCAGCCTTCTGGGCCAATCTGAATCCCCAGATACCGAGCATGCCGAACCAAACCGATAGCATCGGCCCCATTCCCACGACTTGCAAGTAACCTGCGAATCAGCCGAGACGACCGCGGAGAGAGACTCAGGCCACAGGGGATCAGGACACACTTCTTCATGTTCAGGGCAAGCCCAATCCCAGGATGCAGACGCTGAAGCAGCGGGAGAAGAATCGGTAGATCCACGTTCACATCACGAAGCCCAAACCACAAATCATCAGCATATGCCAAGATTTGCCGAGGGAGACGACAACAGAGCCGACGAATGCACGGGTCGAGAGCGAGAGCGAAGAGCAGCATGCTGGACGGGCCCCCTTGGCGAACGCCCCGTAGCAGACGCATCGCTCGATGACGCTTCCCTCCAAAGCAGACGGTCCCCTGATTATCAGAGTACAGCGCCTCAGTAAAAAACAACCACTCCAGGGGGAACTTCCATCATGACCAGCGCCCGAAGAAGCCAAAAAAAAAGCCTGCCCGGAAACGCAGCAGCAAAGTCAGTCAAGAACATGCAAGACAGGTCGCTCCCCACCATGCACTGCTGAACTCCCCAACACTCAGCCTCGCGAGTCTGGTCGGTCATAGACCTCCCTCGAATGCAGGCCTGAGCCTTACGTGCGCTCTCGCTTTCTCCAGGTGGGAGGAGAACGCCACAGACATGAGCTTACAGTCAGTGTTGGCCATAGCAAGAGGACGACAGGCATCCAGAGACCGAGAGGGGCAAGCAGTAAGATCCGTCGGATTCTCACCCTCGGCTAGGAAGACAAGAACCATTTCCCGCATGGAAGAAGACATGTCACAAGCACGATGGTCAAACAGGCGGCAGTAGAGATCATGCAGGATCGCAATCGGGATAGGGGACTTCCAGCAAGAGTAGACAATCCCATCTGGCCCTGGCATCGAGTCGCGACGCCCCCTTACCAATTTCTCAAAGTCCTCAAAGCAAAGACGCCACTGATCATCAGGAAGGGGACGGACAGGAGAGATGTGAGCTTCAAGCTCAGGCCAGAGAGAAGTGTCGCAATCTAACTCACCAAAGACCGTTTCCCAGTCCCGAGCCAGCTCCCCCCCCCCCCCCGCCTCCTCAATGGTGCTGCGCGGGGCACCACCAGAATCCAGGATAGTCCCCAGAGAGATCCGTTTCTGAAGAGGCCTCCAGAGCTCACGACGCCTTTGCAACCTGGAACGCAGCCGAGCCTTAATCTCCGAATCTGTCTCTTTGTCAACTTCCTGCTCTAACTCAGTCAGCCGAAGGTTCTGGAGCGACCGGGCGCGATCACAAAGCGCAGGAAGATTCCGACAGGTGAGAGGGTCGAGGGCAAAGAAGCGGGACAGGTGAGGGCAGCAAGAGATGGCAGAACAGACACGCTGTGCATGCCGTGCACGTAGACCCCTCAACGCAGCCAATGAAAAGTGAATCTTCTCATCTGCAGTCCGGGCGACTTGATGGGAGAGGAAGTCGCGCGTCCGCTTGCGCGCCTCAAACATACATCTCTTGACCAAGGCAATCTGATCATTAATATGCAAAGACCGATCCATTTCGCTCAGAAGGGCTTCGAGCTCAACGTGGAACCGCGAATGTTTCCCAAACCAGGAAGGGATAGACGGATTCTCAGAAGGCTGGCACTTCCGAAACGTGGCCAATACAGGATCATGGTCAGAGACATTCTGCGTAGTCGTGGCTTTGCCAATAACCGAGCACGCGATGGAGAGATCAGAGAGCACAACAGTGGGAGAGGCGAGATACAGACGGTCAAGTCGGCTCACATGGCAGATTTCCCCACTGACAGTCTCACGACGGGTAGGTTCTGGCTGGTGGACCTCAGTCCAACGAGGGAAGACCGAGTGGAACGTATCATGCCTATAACGATCACCAGGCCTCCACCCCGATCCATCCCCACATTGACGGCCATCCTCCTCGAGAGCAAAATTGAAGTCCCCACCAAACATAACCAAAGCGTCAGGAGTCCCCAGAGCGTTCCGAATAAGCCTCAGAGACCTCCGAAATGCCCACATAGGCTCCCCCGATGTAGGCAGGTGCACATTAAGGACCCAGAGAGCGCCCCGTCGACCGTTGCATTTAGAGACCAGGATACGGCCTTCATCAACATTGCAATGCCGAGTGTCCGTAAAGAGAGCGCAGAGAGCAGGAGAGATCAGCGTAAGAACACCACCAGCAATGTCCGAGGTAAGTCCTGGGAATCCAATCGACCAACCTTGCAGATCCGCCTGGAGTGCCGCTGCATCGCCAGCTGTGCCATGGGTCTCTTGCACACACAAAATACTGGAACGCCGAGACAATCCCAGAAGCTGCTTGTACCGACGAGAAGCCCGCAGAGAGGAGTGGTGAATGGAAGCGAAGAGTCCCCTAGAGTTCCAAGTGAGCAAAGACAGAGAGCAGGAGGGGGGAGGGGAAAACGGGAGCGACGATTCAGCGGGCAGACCCCCGCTGGGCGAAGAAGAGCTCGAGTCGGAGTCGGAACTGCTCGAGCTACTGGCAACAAAACTGGAGGAAATCTTAAACTCGATCCTGCCTTCACGGGCGCGGAGGGCACCGGCCAAAAAGTTCCTGGAGGCCCCTGGGGGGGGCAGAAAAATTTGGTCCCCAGGGCGGCCTAACCTATCAGATTCAACTTCAAAAGGGACGCGTGGGCTCAGTGGCAAACGCAGCCTCGAATTTCGCACGGATCTCTGGGGCGTTCAGTCCAAGAGCGGTAAGACCTGCTTCATCTGGGCGAAGATGGATCACATCCGAATTCTGGGGACAGCAGGTGAGGCGGAAGAGAGGAACTGGATCTTCACACGAGCGAAGGCCGAAGACATCCCCGCCGATTCCATTAGAATTGGCCTGCAACCCAACTTTGGAAAGCTCTTCCTGAACCGCACCCCGTACTTTCCCCATCTTGAAGAAGAGAAGCCGATGCTGAGACAGGTTACGACGAACACGAAGGGGCCAAACATCCTGCTGATTCCGTGGGTTAACCACGCTGTAACTCACACTCAGCTTCCTGAGATTCATTTGGAAGTCCGAAGCCATGGCCGGGGTAGGGAAGTCCAGGGTCACTTTCTTCTGGAGATCATAAGCCCGAATCCGAACGAGAGTGGCTGCCTGCACGGTCGCACACTTAGAGATGATGTCCTTCGCAACCCTCTCGAGAGTACTGGCCATCAATCGATCCTGGAACCCAGGAATGAGAAGACGGTGGGCATCCTCAAGCGACGATCCTCCTCCTGCACTCCCTCCTGTAGTGGACCCGTCCCCAACCGAGCTGTCAACTGCACGGCGCTTACCTCCTTGACTGTTCACAAGAGGGGGCAAACGGGCGCTCACCTGAGCCATCTGTTCCATGGCATTGAGACGGGTCTCTGACTTCTCTAAGCGGTCGGTGATCTCTTTCAACATCTGACATTGTACTCCAACAGTGGCAGCAAGACCCGAGACCTGATCATCAATCGATTTCTCGATCTTGGCGAGCTGGGCGTCTAGCATAGCTTGGATCGCGGCCATATCGACCGCCATCGCGGTCGAGTCTGGAGAGGGACAGAAAGGGTATGCACTCAGTGGGATGGTGGTGCAGGGAGCCGCTGGCAGCCTGTCTGCCGAGACCCTCGATCTGCTCCTTGGCTGCTCCCAGGCTGGAGCCACGGAGCAATGGTTACAACTTGAGCCAAAATGGTTACGGATGATGATGATGATGATGATGATGATGATGATGATGATGATGACGATGATGATGGCGATGATGATGATGAGGACGAGGAGGACGAGGAGGAGGAGGAGGAGGAGGACGACGGAGGTGGAGGAGGAGGAGGCGGAGGAGGAGGCGGAGGCGGAGGCGGAGGAGGACGAGGAGGGAGGAGGGACGGAGGAGGAGGAGGAGGGACGGAGGAGGAGGAGGGAATGGGATCCTAAGAGAAGGATGCGGGGAGGAGGGGGGGGGGACGGAGGAGGCGGGAGGGACGGAAGAGAAGGGAGGTAGGGACGGAGGAGGAGGAGGAGGAGGAGGAGGAGGAGGAGGAGGAGGAGGAGGAGGAGGAGGGGAGGAACGGGCGAGGCGCAGGGTGACGGAAAAGGGAGGGAGGGAGGGGGCCTGCTTGCCCGCGCCGTGCCGCTGGCCGCGGCACCACTGCCCGGCGTACACCGCGCCGTCGGCCCCGGTGAGGGTGCCGTGGCCGTGGGGCCTGCCCTCCGAGAAGAAGCCCTCGTGCCGGGCCCCGCGGGGCCCCACCTACGTAGGGGGGCAAGGAGAAAGGGGGGATCGGCTCGAGGTTCGAGGTTCGAGGCTCGCGGTTCGAGGTTTGTGGATTTCAGGTGTCTTCGTCGGCTCTCGGCGGCGTTCCAGCCTCGGGGGGCTCTCCAGCGGCTGCGCCTCGCCGATATAGCGTTCAAGGGGGTGCCTGGAGCGTCCCGAACGGCCGCCAAAGGCCCGAGCTCTGGCCCGAAAACCACCAGGGGGCCCACCCGGGGGGCAGCGATACAGGCCTCAGAGGAAGATAGCGAACACTCATGCCTCATGCCGCGGTCATCTGTCCGGGCCCTCCCCCCGATCAAGAATGACGGTGGGCTCAATGAGTTGCGCTTCGACCGCAACCTTCCCAACGCCTGTCAACTCTGAATTTGGGGAAGAGGGGGACCGTGTCCGTTAATTGTGTCCGTCTACCGTAGGTTCGCGGGGAAACAATAGGTTCTAGGTTCGAGGTTTTCGAGCGTCGCCGTCGATTCTCGGCGGGCTTCCGGCCTCGGGATGCCGTCCAGCGGCTACGCCTCGCCGAAAGGCGCTTCGGGGGCCCCCAGAGCGTCCCGAACGGCCGCTGGAGGCCCGGGTGCTGGCCCAGAAACCACTGGGGGCTGGCTCAGGGTTGTGCTGTTCCCATCGTACTTACGCGTCGTACTTCAGGACCACATCCCAGAAAACCCTAGGGTTTTGGTACTTGTTTGATGCTCGAACTTATTTCAGTCGATCAAGGGTAAAAGTAGGTTGAGACATCATAAGCTCAGGGGGGGAACGCCGACCCGGACTCGGCGACCCCGCTGGCGAACCCGCACGCTCTCGGGCAGGCTGGGGCTTTCGGGCCCCTCTCGGCGAGGACAGGCCACTGGGGGTCGATGCATCCCCCTGGCAGGGCTGGACCTACGTAAACGGTGTTTTCGGCGATTTCGTGGGCCGTTTTCGTTTCGACTTCGTTTTGCGGTGAAGGCGGATTCGAGACAAAAGCGAGGGAAAACGAAAACAAAACGAAAACGCAAAACACCGTTTAGGTTCAGCCCTGCCCCGTGGAGCCTGCCCCCCCTGAAGTTGCCCCTGACCACCAGCACGCCCCAGCCGTGCCGCCGGTCGCCCAGCCACTGGCCGCGGTAGCTGCCTCCGGGAGGAGAGCGCCAATAACTCGCCCAT